CTACAGTTGAATGAAGTATACTCTAGTTCGCTGCGGACGGTTGGGCGTGTCAGGCAGTATGAGTGTGTCACCCCGTTCTCTGCCTTCTTGTTGAGGCATGCGACAAAAAGTGGTAGAAAACGAACGATATGATACAGTCATATCACTTGCTCGCTTCAACAACTGGTGGAGAACGGGTTTGGCACCGCGCCAAACTCATCCCGCTGACACGCCCAACCTTCCGCAGCGAACACGCATTAGATGCAGCCGAGGACTCCCCATCGTTGGGTCATGGAGTGTATATCAGTATATGTATGAATGAGGTTGTTATATGGCTTCGGGGTGTAATTCTTTCCGGGTTGCATTTTGCGTATTCATTGTTTGTTTTTCTCTATGTGAACGATCTATTGTACTTGAAAACTAATGTAAGGTTGAAATTTACAATAAAAGTAAGACTAAAAGGGCTGCTGTTGTTGGGACCTTCTCGCGCGCGTTGTCGCTTGCGTCTCAACGACCATGCAAACATAATGAGATTTCCTTATAAGGTGGGAAATGGTGGAAATATTTATTCATTTATTTAATTACAATGCGTCCATGAGCGTACATATAGTCGTCATCCGGCACTTGATTAGGCGGCAAGGGTCGCGACGCGGCTGCGGCGTGTCACGAGCGCGGCGATCAGCTGTTTCCAGCCTATTTTAGCCATTTTCTCCCTAATTTACACTGTTATGGCTGCTTTTCTCGAGATTAGTTGTTCCTTGTCTTCACAAGGTAAATTATGATTGAGATTCCTCTGTTTTTTTTTGCGCACAATTAAACAGTTAGGCAGACAATTGAACAAACACCTGAAAAAAATCGCAAAAACACTATTACAGAAACAAAAAAAACTCCACGCCCTAATGTACTTCATGAAAGACAATAAAACAACTAACCTTGAAAAAATAGAAAATACAGTGAAAATTAGGGAGAAAATGGCCAAATTAGGCAGCTGATCGCCGCGGTCGTGACGCGCCGCAGCCGCGTCGCGACCCTTGGCCGCCTAATCAAGTGCCCGGATGACGACTGTATCACTCTGGAATTACGGCTGCTGCATATATGATGTTGAAGGATTGAATGAAGAATTGCATATGGTTCCGTTTATCAAATTAAGGGTGGCAGGTTTCTGAAGTCAAAACTAACAAAGGTCAAGAGAAACCGTGAAAATCGAAGTCTGTTGAAGTTAGTTTTCATCGAAACTTGTGAGAGTGATATGTACGCAATTCCGTTTTAGGACTACGTTTTTTCCTCCCTTCGCCGTGGTCACCGTTCGCACTTTGTACATTGCATCCAGCCATCTCCAAATATGCGCTCGTCTTCTGGTTCTTACGAGGCCATCGATGTGCCGTTTGTACGCGGTCAATTACGGTCAATACTCTTGATCGACTCAATCAGAGCCAATAATAGAGGTAGGGTGAAGTGGATGTAGTGGTAAGTAATGTAAGCTAAATGGGAAGAGCTTTTAGGATATCCCGAACGGGTCTCATTTCGCGATTTTCGTCGTCGTTTCGGATGTTTGGTTGAAGACGAACTGAACTCATCTATCGATAATGCGCTTGACGATCGGGCTGCTGTATCGAAGATTCTTGAAGGAATGGACATTCATCAGCACAGATATCGTTTAGGAATCAGCCAGGTGCACTACTAGTCCTTTATTTGTAAAAGGAGTTTAGCATAGAACTAGTTAGGCTTCTGAGCGGTAATGATAGGTAATGACAAAACCTAGTATTGTGCTGTCCTAGAGCCTCATTTCAATCTGAATGACCATGAAAGAGGCACCCAAAAATTTATAGCAAAAAACTCCAAAGATCCAAACGAATCCAAAAGGTTCCGCAAAATTTTTTTTATTTTCCCGCAGGGAGGCAGCGGAGGCAGATCTCGATTGGAGACAGCACAACAGTGGAGCCAGAGACCAGAACCATGGGCGGGGGCCAGGATCTCGATTGCGAAGACAGCACAAAAGTGGAGCAGAGACGAGAACTCGATTGCGGAGACCACCAGTGAAGGCAGGTCAGTTCGCAGGTTTCGAGTGGAGGCAGCTAACTGCAGTATTTCAGATCGCTGAAGAAGGTGCTGAGCACAGAAATATCCGAAGAAAAGAATAAATTAAAAAAAAATTGCGAGAACTTTTGGATTCTTTTGGGTCTTTGGAGTTTTTTGCAATAATTTTTTGAAGGCCTCTTTTATGTGTGTCACATTCAAATGACAAAACTGTTGAGTTGTGGGTGAAATCTGTCGACGTATTACGGAAAACTCGAAGCCGGCTTTTTATCTTTTAATGCCGCCAGAGTTATCCATTTCGCTATGAATCCTCTTCCCACAGCTTCTCAATTACTTGTTCGTCATAGCTCACTGACACTCACACCTATCCACCCTGTAGTCGATATCCAGCGATGAGCCGTCAAGCTAAAAGCCTCTTCCTTCATTTTGGCCTCGCTAGAAAACAACTGAATCATCACTGGCCCCCTTTGAGGTGTTTCTCTTGCCGCCTTTTTCCATGGTGAGCGCCGCATTTCTTATTCTTGATAGCATTTGCAACTCTTTCGTTATTCCTGCAGTCTTTACCCCTTTCAGTTTAGTTTTCCACTTGCTGTCAAGGACTAGAGGTCACAGTTTACTGAGCATTGCACATTATGGACTCACAGCCACTGATTGTTTAGGTTCTTCTATCGGCGGATGTGCTGTGCGAGCTTGAAGATCGTCGAGAGCTGTCCTTGTCGGGCTTGGTGACTGCATTCCAGCGAGAATGCCGTAGACACTTAGCAACGAAATGGTTGCAGCGCAGACGAGTTCTGGAGACAGCCATCAAATGCATTCAGGTATTGCACATGCAAAAACGACTAGCACTTTTGCAACCGTCACTTTATTCGTTCATCATTTTGCGGTCTTGATGAAGATGCGAGCTCGCTGGTATTGTTTTTATGTTCATGAATTGGGCAGGATTTTTGGAGTCTTACTATGTACTGTAAAACAAAGAAAACCTTGAAAAAAAACTGTCAAAGCAAAAATAAACCACATAAGGCTTCTTGGGTAACGATTGCGTTAAGGGAAGTGTTAGGCTGCGTTCATACTTTGCGGCGGCGTAGCGTAGCGTGGCGCTTCCAGCATA